AACAAAAAAGTAAATGAGGTTAAATATCCTAAAACTTTTACTTACAGACAAAACCCTCAGAGGGCTCTTTGTCATCATTTTATAAACATTGGAGTATGGTTTACTGCTGCCTGCCAGAAAAGTAATCACAACTTTCTGCCTTGTGTGCAATTATTTTTGTAATGTAGTGCAGAATGAAGAATAAAACATAAAATAGTAGATATAAACATAAAAACAAAAAGCTGCAGAATGTCACAAGTGAAGCTGTAATATTGCATATTATTTTGAAGTAAAACAAACTCAACTTTTCTAGCAACTGCTTCATCAAATGAGGGCACAATCTGAAACCATCTGGCTATCATGGAAGTTTTGCAAACTAAAATGATCCATACTGAACTTGGACTTCTCTAAAATCCTTTAGCACTTACTGGTATTTAACATGTATTAAAACTACTAGCTTTCTATACACCTTGTTCCTAACTTGTGTTCCCAAGGTTCATAGAAGTTTAAGAAGGCAGTAATGATGGATTCTGAGGTACTGTCAGTATTACAAACAGCCTAGTAAAATGGTCCATTTGCCTGCGATTAGGCTGCATGTAATAATAATAATATTAATTGAATCCTCACAAAAATCCTAAACTTAAATGGAAAGTGACTGCTCTTAGTTGGAATTATATCAACCTTGTGCAAGGAAACTTTATACAAGCTTTCCTAATTTTTTTAAAAAATTTATTTATTTTTGGCTGCGTTGGGTCTTCGTTGCTTCACGTGGGCTTTCTCCAGTTGCAGCGAGCAGGGGCTACTCTTCGTTGCGCTACACGGGCTTCTCATTGCAGTGGTTTCTCTTGTTGCGGAGCACAGGCTCTAGGCACGTGAGCTTCAGTAGTTGTGGCACACAGGCTCAGTAGTTGTGGCTGGTGGGCTGTAGAGCACAGGCTCAGTAGTTGTGGCACACGGGCTTAGTTGCTCCGCGGCATGTGGGATCTTCCCGGACCAGGGCTCGAACCCGTGTCCCCTGCATTGGCAGGCAGATTCTTAACCACTGTACCACCAGGGAATTCCCAGCTTTCTTAATTTTAACTGAGAAAATAATCATTTATTAAATAATGCTGTTTGATGCACAGAATCCTTCGAAAACCAGCATCTACAGGCCAGAAAATATGTTGGAAAAATTGAAGAAAAAAGACTGATAAATGGTGTCTGGTGTATATTTGTCTTATTTCTTCTAACAGGACAGGACATCGCTGAGGGCAATAATGATCACCTTCACAGAGTCTAACACGCTGCCTAGTGCATAGGAAGTCTTCTTTCCATGGATGCTGTTTGCTTGATCTGTAAAGTACCATGATTTTAAAAACATCGATTCCATACACTACCAAACGTAAGGTAGATAGCTAGTGGGAAGCAGCCGCATAGCACAGGGAGATCAGCTTGGTGCTTTGTGACCGCCTGGAGGGGTGGGATAGGGAGGGTGGGAGGGAGGGAGACGCAAGAGGGAAGAGATATGGGAACATGTGTATATGTATGGCTGATTCGCTTTGTTATGGAGCAGAAACTAACACACCATTGTAAAGCAATTATACTCTAGTAAAGATGTAAAAAAAAAATAAAACATCGATTCCATTACCATTTGCAACATGAGTCTGGAGCTTTTGAAGTCTCCTTTCCCCCTACTTCCTCACTGAAAAGTACGTATGCATATCTATTGGACTGTTACTGCTGGCACCTTACCCACTTAAAAACTGAGTAATTCAGACAGACTTTAGATAAGCAATCAAGATGGGCTCTATCTTAATAGTACTGAACTCGGCTCAAAGATCTTTTCATAAGGCCAGTCTGCTGAATCAGATACAAGCCACTCCCACTGCCTAAATTACCATTCCCCCCCCCTTTTTTACTTTTTGCAGTCCTGAGATAAGTGGTCCTACTTACTGGCAGCCTAGATGATCACGTATCCCAAAGCCTGAGAGATTCTAAAAGAGCAGCTCCTGACCACCAGACTGTCACTATGCCTCAAAGTCTCTCCATTATAGTCATTTCATTGAGCTTAGACATTGATAATCCATGTTAACATACAAATACATTACTTAGTAAGGGTAAAAGGTTAAGGCAGTGTGATATAATGGAAAGAGCACAGACATTAGAATCAGTAAAATTTTATTTTGAAGCCAGGCTTCACCAATTCCCAAATTTTTGAGTTACCACATCTATAAAATGGGGGTAATAATATTCACTTTGAAGAACTATTAATACAGGTACCTATTATACCTTACAGTCACCAAAATGGTAATGTGCTTAGAATGCCTAGCACACAGTAAGCACTCAATGGTATTAATGATTTTACGACCATTGATAATCCCTTATACTCATTCCCACAGCATCCAGAGCAGAACCCTGAGGGCAGGGAAAGGGAACAACCACTCACTGGGGCTCAGAGAAGTTCAATAACTTGTTTAAGTTCACATAGCTAGTGAACAGCAGAGCAAGTATCTGAACTCAGGTCTCTCTAATTCCAAAGCCCAGGTTCTTGCCTAAGAAACCTCCTGCCTTTTCTTGTGTGTACCCATTCCAGAAGAAAGTAGTGATTTGACAGCCTCAGTTATTCAGGTTGCTTTGGAAAAAGTCAGCCCTGAAAGACTGTAATCATATTAAACTATATAAAAGCTATGCACAGGGTGAGTGCTTTCATGTAGACCTAAAGGCATGCCAATGAATAGCAGAGTCCATTTGAAACCATAAATTAAAGCAAATGTAGTGAGATCTAAAATGATCTGCTGGTACACCAAAATGGATTATGCTGGAAAATTCCCAAGTCTCATCTTCCCAGAATTCTACAGAGCTATCAGCATACACAAGTGTATCACAAAGCCATTCTCCAACCCAGAAAGCCTAGCTTTGGGTCGATGTCCCTGATGGTCCCCTTCCTCCCCAGCGCCCTCCCGAGTTACCCAGGCCTCCTGGTAATCAGGACTCCGAGGGAAGAGAGAATGCTGGTGGGTCAGGTTCACGTCTGTTCTCTGCCCCTTCCCTGTCTCTACACCAAGCAGGTAGCCAGACTCTACCCCCCTTTGCCTCAGGGAACATTTGTCTTGTTAGCTGACTGTCTAAACCTGGCTGTTCTCCAGAATCCTGAGCACCTTGATGGGATTATGCATAGGAGGGAGGGGGCAGTGCCTTGCAGGGCAGAAATGCAGGGGGGAAATTTCTGCTCAAGGGACCTCTGGGATACAGGGCCTCAGGGAAATGGCTTCTCGGTGCCTATAGGGAGGCTGGACACCAGGCATTAGGGCTCCCAGCCTAGGCAGAAGCCCCCTCCTCACCTCACCTCTCATGCCCCACGGGCCCAGGAGTAGCAGAGATGCCCACCTTCAAGGAACCGTGGGGACTTGGACAGTGAGGGGAGCAGGGACAATCACAATGGATTGACGACCCTGTAGAATACCCTCTGCCCTCCCATTCTTGAGTAACTCACAGAAAGAGGAGGGGCCCTTCAATAGTGAATGAGATTGGATTTTCTGTCACCTCAGTGGGATGGAGGGAAAATGCAGATTCAAACTGCCGCTTCTGAGCAAACCTGCCCCGAGGTACACACTACACAGAAGACACAGCAAGTAAGTGCACACTCTTTATTACTAGTTAGAATCAGGAAACCTCTGACAAAGGTTGAGCTTGGTGAGCTGGAATCTCCTGGCGGAACTCGAGGACACGTTTTGCTCAGACTGGAGGCTGATCTGACTTCCCAGCCCCGGGGCTCCACTTGCCTCTGAGAAGCTGGCAGAGAACACACCAAGTGGAAGAGAAGGGCCCACGAGCATTCTCAAGCGTGCTCGTCCCAGTCCAGTTCTAGTTTTAATCCATTTAGTCCTCCCAAGAGAAGCGCCATCCAAAGCACGATGTCTGTCCTTGGAATCCATTTTGTTCTTCATCCACTGAACAGAAAGGGGCTTGGGATGGTGGCTGCCCGAAGCTGAGGGCTCAAACACTCCCCCAAGCACTGTCCTTCTTTAAGACAGTCGCCCAGTGGTCTTTCAGGCAACCAGGAAACTAGCTGTCCCTCTCAAGGGAGGAAATGAGGAGAGTATCAGAAAAGTCCTGCCTGCAATTTTGTTAGGCCACTTTTCCACTCTTTGCCACTACTCACTTGTCTCACATGGGACCAGTGAGATGAGCAGTTCGGCAATCAAGTCCTTCCATTAAAGTCTCTTTGTTGCCCCCGGAACTGCAGAAATATCTCGATGTTATTTCATTTGGGCTTCCCCAAAGGTCACACTACATGCAAGGCAAAGAAGTCACTCCTGATATAACTCGTATCCCAAATTAGGCTCTCTCCTGTTATCTAACCAAACTCACCAAATCAGGTTATAATGTGTGCACCAGATAATAACATATAAGTCCGGCTCCTAACACATATCAGACAATAACTGTTTAATGAATTAAATGAAATTCGTCACGTTTGCTATCATCTATACAATTTAACACTGCAACCACCACATCTTATGAATTAATTCTTTGTCCCAACAGAGAAATTACATCCTAACAAAATTATTTTGCCCCCCTTTTCCCCCAAGTGCCAAAGCATCTCTTCTTCCCTGACTTTTTGCTCTTCTCGGCTCCAGTCAGTAGGGGTCTCACTGAGTGTGGGTCAGTCAGAAACGAAGAGTTTTTTCTTTAGGCTCTTGGAAGATCTTCTAATGGGATAGGTTCAGATTCTTCAGCAACAAGCAAATTCCGTGGGGCTCAGAGACATAAAAACAGACCCTCACCTATAAAACTTAGAAAACGAGAACAAGAAGCAAACATGAACACCGCGGTAGTTTACAAAGGAACGATAGCATTTTCAAGGAAAATCAGTGCTCCGAAAATTCCTTATAGCTTATAACCAAAAACACATGGCTGCTCCCAGCCAAAGACATGGCATTTTCTGGAAAACAAGGTTAATAAGAAAACAGAAAAGAGTGAAAAAGGAAAAAACAGTCTTTTTTAAAAAAATTTTTTTAACATCTTTATTGGGGTATAATTGCTTTACAATGGTGTATTAGTTTCTGCTTTATAACAAAGTGAATCAGTTATACATATACATATGTTCCCATATCTCTTCCCTCTTGCGTCTCCCTCAAAAAAACAGTCTTGACTTCAGCTTCTGCAGGGTGTCAACCAATCAGCTTCAGCCACCCAGAATTCAGCACCTGCAAACATAAATGCATTAGGAGAAATTCCTTAAAGAGTGAGTGTGATACTCAAAAGCAATCCGTCTTTGCTCAAGTAAATGAAAAAAAAAAAGAAAGCATATAAATACATACGTATCTATGTGTGTACTCAATGATAAAAAGTTGTTATTTGGGGTAATGGGACAATGAATTATTTTATTTAATTTTCTATATCATAATTTTAGTTACAAATTTTCTGTGAAGTAAATGAGTTACTTTTTAATCAGGAGGGGGTCTTAGAAAACTGGTTTTTCTTTGGAGTGTTTCCATTCTTACTTACCTTCCTGAAATCAGTGGGTTTGTCCTGGGTCGGGGCCTCCACTCTCAACCGCCATGCAGACTTTCTTGCATTCATAGCAAGCCTTGTGCCATGGAAAATTCATTGCTTTACACCACAGGGCACTCCCAATTCACTGAACTGCAGCCTGAGGCAGACTTCTCCTGGTGGTGTGATTCTGAGGCTTTTTTCCCTTCTGGCCGCTTGGTCTTCTGCCCCTGAGGTTGTTGTTTCTTTGGGTTTTCTCTCCCACTAGGGCTCCAGCTGTCCCCCTGGGCGGTTGCCTGAGGCCTCTCTGGACCTCCTTCCTGGCCATGTCTCCTGTTGAACAGCGGTGGGGGCATCCCCTGGGGCCCTTGTGGACCTCCTTCCCGGCTCTGGCTTCTGCTGACCCCCAGGGGGCCAGTCCCCTGGGGCCTCTCTGGATCGTCTTGCCTGTGACTTCTGCTGTTCCCCAGGGGGATGGTCCTCGGGGACCTCTCTAGGTCTCCCTCCTGGCTCTGGCTTCTGTTGTCCCCCCGGGGAACATTCCCCTGGGATCTTTTGGGAACTTCTTCCTGGCTGTAGCTCCCATTGGCCCCCAGGGAGACCATCCCCTGGGGGCTCTCTGGACCTGCTTCTTGGTTGAGACTCCAGCTATCCCTCAAGTGGACCATCCCCTGGGGTCTCTCTAGGCCTTCTTCCTGGCTGTGGCTCCAACTATCCCCAAGAGGGATCATTCCCTCGGACCTCTCTGGACCTTCTTCCTGACTGAGACCACAGCTGTCCCTAAGAGGGACCATCCCCTGGGGCCTGTATAGACCTTCTTCCTGGTTAAGACTTCTGATATCCCCTAAGGGGACTGTACCCTGCAGGATCTCAGGACCTTCCCCCTGGCTGTAGCTCCTCTGGTTCCACAGTGGGGCCATCTCCCCCTGAAAGACCACTGCAGCCCACGGGCCAGGTGGAGAGATGCCCAGAGGAGGCACCTGAAGTGGGACGACTCCAGCTTCTGTTTCCATATGGCTACTGCTGGTGGTACAGGTGGCAAGAATGGGAATCCCATCAGGAATGGTGCATGGAATGGAAATGGGTATGGTATCGGCACTGGCAGAGGGGGTTGCACGGCCTGGGCCCAAGGACTCGGGGGTCCCGGCACATAAAGGACATCTGTCGGGGCTGGCATCTGGCTCTTGAAATACAGCCTGTCATGCTCCCCCATGGCTACCACATCTCTCTGCTGCTCTACGCTCATGGGCCACTCTGCAGTCCCAAGTTGTTCGGCTCGAGGCCCAGGCAGCAACTCTTGGGCCAGTGGGGTGACCTGTGCCGACCTCTCGACCAGGAGCAGCCGCCCACAAAGCACATCGCGCTGTTTCAGCGCCTGCTGCAAGGCGGCCCGCGTGAGGCGCAGCTACGTGACCACTCCTCGCGCTCCTCGCGCAGGCGCCGCAGCTCAGAGGGCCCAGGAAGCCGCCTCGCGTTCCCCTACCTGCTCCTGCAGCCACTGAACCCGGAACGCCTGCTGCTCCCGCTGCCTCGCGCCCACACGCACGCTCAAGGCCAGCGCGCTCCAGGCACAGACCCTCTTGATGGCGCACGGCACCTGTGGGTCAGCGACGACGACGCGCAGCCGATCCTCTACCTCATTCCAGGACCGCGAGCAGAAGGCCACGTAGAAATCGGGGCCTCCCCCGTTCATAAGGACTTCATTGTTGATGAATCTGATCACCTCGTTGTGGCGGAACCCGCTGGCATGGTCCCCAAGGCCCACGGCCATGGCCGCTGCGGCCTAGTCAACCAACCGCCTCACGGGAGATGCCGCTGCCGCCGCCGCCGCCGCCGCCGGTAAAGCCCCTCACCTCCCGGCTCAGTCCTCCTTCAGTTCTAGCCCAGTCCTGGCCTCCTCCTCGGCCTCTTTCCTCTGTCACGGTCCGGCTTTCCTCACAGAAAGTAAGGCAGATCCCCTCACTGCGCCAACCCCCAAAAGGCAGACGCAGGCGCCACGGGTCACACGTGAGCTCCGAGTCGCTCCGCAAGGCCTGCTGGGACCAACCTCGCTGCCAGAGCCCCTCCTACCGGGTGAGCAGGCCGGAAGCTGCACTGAGTGCCGCAGTGAACCCAGACGTGGCAGAGGCCGGAAACTGCACTGGGTGCAGCAGTGAATCCAGACGTGGCAGAGGCCAGAAGCTGCACTGGGTGCCGCAGTGAACGTCTAGAAGGCTTTAGTGTTTCTAAGAATTTCAGAAGGACAATATCCAGCATGGTGGAATGAATTTCTAGCTGGGTGGAGCTGCACAGGTGGGTGCAGTTCTACTTTTGTCTCAGCTTCATCTTAGTTCTTAGATACACTTCAGACCTTTAATACAGTCAGTCCCACTGTCGGCACGCTTCCCTCAGCATCCTGCACAGGTAAACTTAGAATCCCTGTCATCAAGAAAATCCGGGGACTGAGCCATGAATTTTTCCTGAACTCTCCCTGTAATTTCACTCTCATGTTTACCTGATCAACTTTGTTCTCAGACGATGTCTCTCTTATTTTAAACTAAATGCTTCTCTCTTGATCTGTGTTTTCCATACAGGAGATGCTAAAGGAGTTCTGCAGGCAGCCCTAAATGGTAACTGGAATCCACGCAAAGAAATAAAGCACACGCTAAAGGTAACTACATAGGTAAATACAAAAGACAGTATTACTGTATTTTGTGACTCCTCTTTTTTAATATAGGACTTAAAACATGACTGCATGAAACAATACAAATCTGTCTTCATGGGCACACAATGTATAAAGGTGTCATTTATGGCAGTAACAACATAAAGGGGGTGGAGCTATACAGGAGCAAAGGTTTTGTATACTGTTGAAATTGTTTGTATTAATCCAAAATATACTGTTATAATTTAACATGTTAGTTGTAATCCCCAGAGCAACCACTAAGAAAATAACTAAAAAATATACAGAAAAGAAAATGAGCAGGAAATCAAAAAGGTAAACTCCAAAAAAAAAAAAAGAAATCAATGAAACCCAAAACAAGGCAGTAATGGAGGAATGGGGGGAGATATAAGACATGTTAGAAAACAAATAGCAAAATGTCAGAAGTCCTTCCTTATCAGTAATTATATTAAATGCAAATAGATTAAACTCCAATTAACAGGCAGAGATTGGCAAAATGGATACTTTTTAAAAAACATGATCTAAATGTATATTGTCTACAAGAGATTTATTTTGGATTCAAAGACTTGAATTGGTTGCAAGTAAAAAGATAGAAAAGGCTATTCTGTACAAACAGTAATTAATTAAGAGCTAGAGCAGCTCTCCAAATATCAAAGTATACTTTAAGACAAAAATTAGGATTAAAAAAGAGGATATTATATAATGTTAAACAAAGGGTCAATCCACTTAGGAAACAAACTTTTAGTTACCAAAGGGGAAAGACAGTGAAAGGGAGGGATAAATTAGGAGTATGGGATTAACAGGTACACACTATCACATATAAAATAAACAAGGATTTACTGTATAGCACAGGGAACTATAATCAATATCTTGTAATAACCTATAATGGAAAAGAATCTGAAAAAAGTATATATATATAACTGAATTGCTTTGCTGTATACCTGAAACTAACACAATAGTGTAAATCAACTACACTTCAATAAAATAAAATAAAAAATTTAAAGGGTCAATCCATCAAGAAGGTATGTCAATTATAAATATATGTGCACCTTATATATGCACCTAACAACAGAGTCCCAAAATACATGCCAAAAGTAGACAGAATTGAGAGGAGATAGAGGCAGTTCTACAGTAAGAGTTGGAGACTTCAGTACTCCATTTTCAATAATTTATAGAAAGACTTGATAGAAGATCAAGAAGGAAATACAAGACTTGAAAAATACTATAAACCAAATAGACTTAACAAACATCTGTGGAACAGTCAAGCCAAAAACAGCACACTACATATTCTTAAGTGCACATAAAAGATTCTCCAGGATAAACCTTTTGTTAGGCCACAAAACAAGTTTCAATAAATTTATGAAGATTGAAATCATACTAAGTATGTCCTCTGACCACAATGGAATGAAATCAGAAATTAATAACAAGGAAATTTGCAAAATATACAAATATGTGAAAATTAAATAACTCTACTAAATAACCATTGGGTCAAAGAAAAAAATAACAAGGGAAATTAGAAAATATGTTGAGATTAATAAAAACAAAAACACAACATACCCAAACTAATGGGACTCTGAAAGCAGTGTTCAGAGGGAAATTTATAGCTACAAATGCCTATGTTTGAAAAAAGAAACATATCAAATTAATAACCTAACTAGCCCACCTTAAGGAATTAGAAAAAGGAGAGAAAACTAAACCCAAAGCAAGCAGAAAAAAGGAAATAAAAATTAGAATGGAGATAAACAAAATAGAGAAGAGAAAAAACAATAGAAAAAAAAGGAAACAATAAATGGTTCTTCAGAAGGATCAACAAAATTGACAAACAAACAGACTGTTCAAGAAAAGAAAGATTCAAATTACTAAAATCTGGAATGAATGTGGGACATTTACTATCAACCTTACAGAAATAAAAAGAATTATAAGAAAATACTATGAACAATTATATGCCAACGATTTAGATACCTAGATGAATGGACATATTCCTAGAAACACAAAAACTACCAAAACAGATTCAAGAAGAAATAGAAAATCTGAACAGACCTATAAGAAGTACAGAGATTGAGTAAGTAACCAAAAACCTGCCAACACAGAAAAGCCCAGGACCAAACAGCTTCCCTGGTGAATTCTACCAAATATTTAAAGAGGAATTAACAGAAATCTTTCTCAGGCTCTTCTAAACATATAAGAGGAGGGAACACTTTCTAGCTCATTAATGAGACTAGTATTATGTTGTTACCAAAACCAGACAAAGACATCACAAGAATAGAAAACTATAGACCAATATCCTTTATAAATATAGGTGTAAAACTTCTCAACCAAATACTAGCAAATGGAATCCAGCAGCACATTAAAAGAATTATAAAACATGACTAAATGGGATTTATCTCAGGAAAACAAGGACGGCTCAATAAATATTGGTGTAAAACACCGTATTACTAGAATGAAGGAAAAAACCCACATGATCATCTAATAGATACCAAAAATACTTTTGAAAAAATGCAACACACTTTCATGAGAAAAAAAAAGAACTCAAAAAACAAAATAGAAAGGAATGTCCTCAACCTGATAAAGGGCATTTATGAAAAACCCACAGCTAACATTATACTCCACAGTGAAAGACTCAAAGCTTCCCCGCTAAGATCAGGAACAGATAAGAATGCCAGTTGTACCCCTGCTATTCAACATTGTCCTAGAATGTCTAGCCAGAGAAATTAGGCGAGAAAAAGAAAAGCTATCCAGATCGGAAAGGAATAAGTAAAACAAGAAAGTTACTAAAACTAATAAACTAATAAACAAATTCAGCACAGTGGCAGGGTACGGGATCAACATGCCAAAATCTGTGGTATCTTTGTACACTAGCAATGAGCGATTTCATTTCCAGAAAATTAAGAAAATGATTTCACTTTCAATACTATCAAAAGAATAAAATACTTAGGAATAAATTTAACCAAAGAGGTACAAGGCTTATACACTGAAAACCACAAAACATTGCTGAATGTGAAGGAAACGTAAGTAAATGGAAAGACATCTCATGTTCATGAATTGGAAGATGTCAAAGTGATCTACAGATTCAATGCAGTGCCCCAACAGACTCTTTTCTTTTCTTGCAAAAATGTAAAAGCTGATCCTAAAATTAACATGGAATTTCAAGGGACCCTAATAGCTAAAACAATTTTTAAAAAGAAAAATAGGGACTTTCCTGGCAGCCCAGTGTTTAAGAATCCATGCTTCCACTGCAGGGGGCCCAGGTTGGATCCCGGGTCAGGGAACTAAGATCTCGCATGCCGCGCAGTGCGGCAAAAAAAAAAGAATAATGTTGTAGGATTCATGCTTTCATGCTTCCTGATTTCAAAACTTACAAGGTTAGAGTATCAAAACAGAGTGATACTGGCATAAAGATAGACATGCAGATCAATGGGATAGAGTTGAGAGTCCAGAAATAAATCTGTCATCTCTGGTCAACTGATTTTTGACAAGGACACCAAGACCAGCCAATGGGAAAGGAATCGTCTCTTCAACAAATGGTTTGGAGATAACTGGATATCCACAGGTAAAAGAATGAAGGTAGACTACTACCTCAGCTCATATACAAAAATTAACTCAATTTTTTGGTTTTGTCTGTTGTTGCTACTTGTTATTGTCATTTTAGTTACTTTTCTAAATTATTTTTGTAAAATTTCCATTTATCATATGTGGCCACTGAAGTCTGTGTTCCATTAGTTTAGTGGTCAACTAGTGTATTGACAGAGTATCTACAAACACCTAAAGCCCAATAATATTTTTTAAAAGAATTTTTAAAACTCTCCCCACTCCCTGAAGATTGTCTGTGTTGGGACACGCCTTCAGTGCTTAGCCAGGCCATTTACAATACTGCCCTCACCTTTACTTCCTGCTTGTGCAGAGCCTGAAGGTTAGCCAGAGGTGAAAGTTTAGGATCTTTTCTGAGGATTAGGCCTGTTCTGAACTTGTGTCCAGTCTTGGGCATATGCATGGCCTTCTCAATTCCCTGACTTAAGCAGGAGCTTTTAAAAACTCTCACTCCCCTGTAGATTTCCTTTCCCAAATTCTTTCTTACCAGGCTTTTTGATCTGTCTCTTGCTTGTCCTGACTGC